AGGGAGAGAGAGAGAGAGAGAGAGAGAGAGAGAGAGAGAGAGAGAGAAGATAAGGCACCTTAATTTTGTGGGTCAACAGCCATCATCATCTCCATGAGATGGAATTTGATGCTTTCATCAAAGTAGATGCAGAACCTTGAAACTGATTCTCAAGATTTCAACTCATCCAATAGCAGAGCAGCAGCCTGTTTATTCTTTTTCTACACCAAAAAACAAATACAAATTGAAGTGGATTTTCAACAGCAGCAGAGCAGATGAGTGGGAATTGACTAGGCCTGCAAATCACGGGCCACAATATAGGAGCTTATTATTATCATAGCAAACCAAACAAGATCTGTGGGAAAACAACACTAGAAAGAGAAGGAGGATTGACTATAAACATAAACATATAATAAAAGGACCCAACTCTCTCTCTCTCTCTCTCTCTCTCTCTCTCTCTCTCTCTATCTCTTGTCCTTTGAATCCAGCTAACATTTTCTTGGTTTCACATTTTTTTTTACCGCCTTTTATTTCTTTATATATATTTTCTCAGTGGATCGCAGTTATTTTGTATGTGGATGATGTTTGGCATCCGACAGTAAAACTGGGCGGCCGCAGGAGGTGAATGCTGAATATGGGCCGGCCGCCGTTTTAGAATAAATAATTGATAATTGATGATGATATATCTACCACACTTGAGTTAAATGCAAATTTCATGCTTATATTATTAAAAAAAAATTAGTGTGTAGCACTTTCGTAAAAAAAAATAAAAAAAAATGTTGTAGCACTTGTGATCAGTGTTTTAAAGCATGCGTCGCGTTTTGATATTTATACAGCGAGTGTAAATAGCGTTGCGTGATATTTAAACTTTGAGGTATTTTCTTTTATACAAATATTACAAGTATATTTGCATATAATAAAAATAGATGATTGATTACAAAAATTATCGTAGTATTTGAATAACTTCAATTTAAGGATTAATTCTCACAAATGTTTAATGTAGTAAATATCATCATAATATAAATATTTAATAATAATCGAATATACTAAAAAGTAAAAATCAAACAACTAAAAAATAATGAGATAAGTCATATTATAATTTTAAGTATGTGCATTTTAGTTATTATTTTCTTATTTAACTACAACTTAATTCTAACTATAAGATATGAACTTTTTATTCTTTATTTAAATGTCAAATATCAAAAAGTAAAATAATATAGACCGTAATTCAAGGACTTGAAAGGCGAATAATATTGCAGACCCTTCTCTCTCGGCAAAAGTTCGTAACCCTTGTAGACCTCATAATCGAGATAATCAGGCCTCCTCGTCGACGGCGAGGCTTAAGCCTGTAGTCGCTGTCGACCGCCCGCTCCGTCTCTGATGTCGCTCCTTCTCGCTCTGCTGCATCTGTGGGAGATGTTCTCGGTCGTCGGTTGTAAGCGAGATTCCGAATGAGGTGGTGTGCCCTCGATCTAAGTCCGAAGGCTCTTCCTCGCCGGTGGATCTTTGATTGGAGTGGTATTGTCCCTCGATTTACCTATTGTCTGCGATTGAGGCCCTTTGATCGCCCCTGATGTGGGTGCTTCTGGTGGCAGCGATGGGGTCTTGCTTCCGGCGGTCGGTGGTGAGGTCAGGTGGCGCGAGGGTCTGTGGACGGGGCGGGACCCTGATGGACGAGACACCCGGTGTCGAGTTTGCTGGGGTTGTAGGGTCGGGCTGCTCTCCCCCCTTCCGGTCTTCTGGTGTCGGGGACTGGTGGGGCCTGGTGCACCCGATTTCTGCTAGTGGTGTTAGGAGAAGTTGGGTTGCGTTGGTGTTGGGGGAGGGTCTTGTTCTCTCGGTTGGTGGTGGGTTGATTTGAGATGGTTTCGGGGTTCGGGTTCAGTTGTTGTATAGCCGGTCTCGCAGTTTCGGTAGCAGTTCCTCGGGCTTGGGACCTTCTTAGACCGACTATTTCTCTACTGGTTTTGGGCTCGTGTGTTGGCTAGGAAGGCCATATTCTATTTAGTATCTACTTAGTTTTTGTTTCTGTTTCGTTTGGTTTCGTGTTAGGGTTGTTCTTGGGTCTTGTTTTTTTGGTTTGGGCCATTTGGCCTCTGTGCACCTGAGTGTCAAATTTATTCTCCTGTTGGGAGTCGACACTCAGGTATTCTCCTGTTGGGAGCCTTGTTAGTTTTTAGTTTTTGTTGGTGTTGTTGGTCGGTGTAGTTTGCGAGCTTTGTTATTCTAGCGTTGCTAGGTTAGGATTTAGGCGATCTTTGGATCTGCCTCCCAGTTTTTCCAGTCTTCGATTGTACTATTCAGCCTTTGGCTGCTTCTTTTCGCACGTTGTGCGGTTTTTATTAATATAGTACCTATATCATTTTGGAAAAAAAAAATATAGACCAAAAACATTGCACTATCAACTTAGGACTTTGCATTTTAAAACTTTTTATTTGAAACCATTATCAAAATTTCTAGTTTTTAATTGTCATTTGTAAATATATGACTCTGATCCCTAAAAAATACGAGTTTTTGAATATTTTATTGTTCAAATACCGTTGCAAAAATACAGCGCAAGATAGCGTAAGAAAGCATGTCAATTCAACATTTCGCGTAAGCTTTTCGGGAAAAACGCTAAATATATAAGGCTACGTCGCGTTTTTCCGAAAACAAACTATATAACGAGTTACATAACGAGCTACTTAAAACAATGCTTATAATGCACGAAAAAAAAATAATAATTCATATAAATCAAAATAGCGAAGAAATGTCTATTAAACGTTTTGAATATTAATATCAATTTTTATATGTTCTATGATATATAATAGTTTAATATATAATTTATATGTGTATTTCACCCGTTCTAAAATAATTGCCAATTTTAGAGTTACTTCTTTAAATTGAAGAACGTGAAAAGTTAATATATCTAAACATTATTAATAAATAATATTTACAAAATACTTCTATCTTTTTTTTTTCATTACACATATCTCTTTAAATATACTATTTAGATTTCTAGCTAAACGATGATAATGTTGGAAAAACGTAGCAAATATTATAATCATATATTTGACTTAAACAGAATTATTATTATTTGAAGTTTAACAATGATAGTCACTGAGATTAAGTGAATAAAAAGTTGTAAATTAGTTGTTCTCTTATTATTTTAAAGTCGGGTTTTCCGTACAAGAGGTCGGTTTTACGTGGAGCCGAGCTAGCCTATAAGAGTATTTAATGTGTCGGAAAAATGATCCTAGTACAGGAATAAATGCTGCTATATATAATAATCCTTGGTCCATCTTTAGAGACTAATTCGGCGGCATTAAATGTAATTTAATGGCCTAGGGGTTTCTAGCCTGCAGGCAGTCCCACAAGTAATGATGAAGATATGGGCACTTGAGAGACAAGTGTCTCATCTGTCTATTATCTCTTCATGACCTCGGTTCTTCATGGAAGTCGGCCACCATCCCACTTTAGTGGTCGGTTCTCATTCAGATCCATGTCGAGTTTCATCAAGTCGGCCTTCCTTCCACCTTTTTGATATTCAATCAGATTTTATGGTTAACGAGAAGATCGACCGTATTTATGCTTTTGCAGCATCCTGGTTAGCTCAGGAAGAGAGACTGCAACCCGGTGTGCCTGTCTGAGTAATCACATGAACTATGGTTACTCAGTCACCTCATTGAACGCTCGCGCCGGTTCGAGTTATGATTCTTGGGAGTATGGCTAGACTTTTTCATGTCCTTACGAGCAACAGTAGGATTATGTACCTGTTGAGCAGTTATATGAGTCCGTTGAGGACTCCTCATATTACAATACCAAGCTTGATCAGGCTCTCGCTCTTTTGACATCCCATGTAGCCTGTAGGAGCAATCTTGAGTCCATAATCGAGAACCTAGTGGAGCGCATGCAAGCCCTAGAGGATCGCGTTGGACAATTTCTTTCTCGAGCCCACCGTTCAAGGCGAATCTACACATAAGAATGAACCTCAGGAGGATACTTTGACGTTTGATGAAAAACTCGACCTTATTCTTGCTCGCATGTCTGTCCCAACAACTCGAGATAAGGAGATTGAGATAGGATGTGCTCGTCTGAGTGCGCAAATGGAGATTTTTACAGCACGTACCGACTCAATCGAGGCACAAGTCGATGACCCCCATCTTATGCTTGATGCTCAAGCTCGTATTCTCAAGCAAATATGTGAGGCCGAAGAAGATGATGATGCGCTCCCAAAAGACAGGAATGATACGTCAAAGGAGGAGGTCCATGGGCTTCATCAAGAATTTACAAATTCTCAAGTCCCTCTTCCCGCCAATGAGTTAGAGCATTCACCTTCGAGGGTATTACACTGTGATACTAGGTGGGTTGGATTTAGCTCGGTTTTTTCCACTGATGCGCTTATAATTCCAGAGGTTGACGACAGAGCTCAGGTGGGAAAAGCTCTATGTCTAAAATTGGGGATCGCTTGTGCCCATACCCGTTTCATCGAGAACATAGTCACCTGGATCCACCATGCCTGCCTTCTTGCCACACTCCTCGTGCTATCACTTCTCGAGAATAAGAAGGCGTGGCACGAACGTCATTTCAGTTTTGGATCCCGGTTGATCTGTACACAAGTTTCGTCAAGCTAATAAAGTTAAACAAGCACTTCTTGGAAGGCAACCAAAGTGTTATTTATCGCTTTCTTAGATATT